GGGGGGGGGGGGGGATCGGCGCATGAGGGGCGGCCCCGCCACCGACGCCAGAACTGCCGACGAGCCGGATGCCCATTCGCCAATTGCCCGACTCCCGGAAGCCGACAGGCAGGCGCAATAACCACATATAACCGCACACACACACCACGGGGAGGGGACATTCCTCAGCATTCGAATGCGCCCAATCCAGCGATCCCTGTCATCGATCATAGGAGATGATGAGCCGAGTGGGAATGTCGTGCCGTGCGATCGGGGCCCGGGGGGCCCAGGGGGGGGGGGGGGGGCGCGGGGCCGCCCGGCCACCCGGAGGCCGACTCCCGCGTACCGACGACCCATGTGTACAATCTTTGGCGTGCATTCGCTCGCGGGCCCGCCCGGGGGGCATGGGCACACCGGCAGACCGGCGCACTGGCCAGCGGGCACATGCAGGCGGGTGCACGCACGCACGCACGCCCAGTGTGAGAGGCGCGCACACACGCCGCCGACACATGCGCACACAAAGACGCAAAGACACACAGACACCCTGTGAGAGATGTACACGGCCCACACGCGCTGCGCAGGCCACGCCCACAGAGCGGCCCATTCGTCCGGGCAGGCGCCACCCCAGGCAGCTATAAAAGGTGCGGCCGCCTGCCCGCAGCTCGGTGTGAGCCCCCGCCATCCCCCCCCCCATTGCCGCTTTGCCTCGCCCTTTGCCCTTTGCCCGTCCCCCCCCCCGCCCCCCCGGCCCGCATCCCATCGCACTGGCGCTTGGCCGGCCTCCGTCGTCTGCGCGCAAGATGGCCACCCCTCGGCTGTGGCCAGCCCGGGCGCACCCGGCAGCCCTCCTCCGCCCGATGCTGGTCGTGGTGGCGCTGCTCGCCCTGCTTGCCAAGTCCTCGCATGGATCCAACACATCCGGGCACTTCATGCACCAGGCTCCCTTTCCCCTGTCGACCAGCACCGGCTTGGTCGGAATCTACACGCCGGCGGGCCAGCTCTCCCAGGTGGCCGTCTTCCCCAACGAGAACAGCTACCACTACCGGACCCAGGACGACTCGATGACCGACTTCGAGGACTATCGCCTGGGCAGCTTCTTCCACAAGTCCAGCACACCGAAACAACGTGTCGGATACACGCCCGGTGACCTGGTGAGGATCGTCATCGCCGAGGTGCCCGGGTCCAGCGACCCGGCCGTGGTCATGTTCTTCACCACATCGGCCACCCTCTTCCAGGGGACCTATCGACTGTCCTTCCCGGATTCGGCCCGCATCCAAGCGGTCCAGGCCCAGACCATGGACCAGGTGTACCTCATGGGCGCGACGCCGGACACCTCGGCGCCCGGCTACTCGGAGCCCTACTTGGCCCTCATGAATCCCACCTACCCGACGATTCTGGATACCACCCTGCCGATGCTCCGGGAGCCGGTGAGCATTTCCCCCGGCACCGGCCGGGGCTTCTACCTGTCCAGCGAGCGGGCCCTCTACCATGTGGTGCATGCCGGGCCCCTGGACACCGACCCGGTGACCTACACGACCCAGTCCCGGCCGGAGGCCATCCTGTACATGATCACCACGCGACTGCTCAGCCGGAAGGCCGACTGCCCGGGCTCCCTGGACATGGTGCTCCTGCTGGCCAATGGCGATGTGGAGGTCTTCTCCTGCTACGACCCGGCCGGGGCCAACACCCCGACGGTGGTCTTCCGCCTGCCGGAAGGGGAGCCCACCAATGGCATCCTCCTGGCGCCCCAGGCGGCCAGTCTGCAGGAGCCCACCCAGAGCCTCTTCTACCTGGTGCAGGGGGCCCCCGGCACGCCCAGCGTGGCGTGGAAATTGATCCACCTGAATGGCAGCCTCACGTGGGAGAAGCACCGCCTGGACCAGGTGGACGTGTCCAAGGTGGAGCTGGCCCTGCTGCGCATGGGCCCGTCGGGCGCCGACGCCCGGTGGATGCTGACGCACCAGCACCATGTGCTCCTCGACCAGGCGTCCTTCGGGTGCACCACCGACAGGACCATCCGCTGTGCGGACGCCAGCCGGGCCAGCCTCGACGCCTCCGGCAGCTGGCAATGCGCCGACGGCCATGTCCTGTCGCCCCTCGTGTCGGAGAGCCACCTGTGCGCCGGCTGCGACAACGGCATGTACCTCGATCGTCCGGACGGTGCGTTTGCCCGGGACACCGGGGCTGGGCCGGGGCCTTGGCCGGCACGCTTGGACTAACACCGATTGGCCTTTCCTCTTGCCCCGCCCTCGCGCGTCCCTCTGGCCATGTTGTGGGGGCGACCGGGAAAATGAAAAATGAAAACCCCGCAGGACTGGCGCCCTTCGAGTCGACGACGCACGCCTGCAAGCCATGCCCGCAGGAAAATTGCGCCACCTGCAACGCCGACCATTGCCTCGTGTGCAAGGCCGGCCATGTGCCGGAGTACCACGACATCAGCGGGCCGATGGCCTGCGTGGCCCAATGCTCGGAAGGCTACAGCTTGAGCGCCAGCGTGTGCCTGCCCACCAACGCCCCCCGGTCGGGGGTGGCCTTCAAGGAATTCAAGACCCTCGGTTACAAGCCGGGCCCCGGGGTGCCGGGCATTGTGGGGTTCTACCGGTCGCGACTGGGCGTCAACCCGGCCACCCACCTGGCCACCATCCCGGCGGCCGACGGGTCGACCCCCCCGCCGGACAATGTGCTCCTCCTGCGGAACAACAACATTCCCTTCCTGGTGGAGGCGAACCAGGTGCACACCATCACCACCACGGAGCCGGACCATGTGGCCCTGCTGCATGGCAGCGCCTTCGGCCCCGATGAGCATGTGGTGCACATGGCCGAGGTGGGGCCCTTCACCGTGGGCAGCACCCTGCGCATGGGGCTGCTCATGCGGCTGAACACCGGGGCCCTTTTCCACGGGTGGCTGGCGTGCCCGGCGCCCGGGCCCTGCGACGTGGCCGGCCCCCTGAGCCCGACCAACATGCAGATGGCCATCCGGCAGGGGTTCACCCATTTGCCGGACGGCCGGGTGTCCGCACGCGGCCCCGGCAGCTCGACCGTCATCTTCACCCCGGACCCGGCCAACCAGGCCTTCCATGTGCAGACGTACCCGGACGTGGAAATCCTGGTTTCGCTGGCCGAGACGCCGGGGCACCCGGCGCGGTCGACCCCGGCGGCCGGCGAGTGGGCCGTCATCCAGAGGAACACCGGCGAACTTTCCCTCTGGCCGACCGGGCTCGATCTGCAGGACTCGCGTGTGGCCACCCTGGCCGGGAAGCTGGCCCAGCGGGATCCGGCGGTCAATGCCCAGGTGACGCTGATGCCGCGCGGGGGCGGACGCCAGCCGGAGCTGGTCGTCAGCCTCGTGGAGGACAGGGCATGGACGGCCTTCCGCATGCCGAGGGACATGGTGTCCGGCGGCCGGACCACCCTCCTGCCCGTGCAGGAGCAACGCCTCCTTTACCCGATGCCCAACCCCATTGGCATGGTCAATGATTTGACCATGCGCGCGCAGGCGCTGCCCTTCCCCGAGGGCGGCTTGGAGTACCCGAGCATCCTGCTGATGATGTCCGCCGAGATGGTGGCGCTCGCGGTGCTGCACTGCCCGCAGGATGACGGCCCCTGCAAGCTGAAGCTCGGGTCCTCACTCTCACGGGGCATGGCCACGAACCCGAGCCTGCGGTCGTGGGATTCGGTGGAGCTCCTGGACCCGGCCGGGCCGAGGGAGCTGGCCCGGGTGCTGGCCTTCGAAGAGGCCGGCGGCCTGATGATCATGGCGGTGGGCGATAACTGCCTCGCCGGCAGCTACCCCCGGGGGTTCGAATGCGAAGCGTGCGACCCGACGTGCGCCACGTGCGACGCGGCCGGGCCCGGGAACTGCACCAAATGCAAGACATGGATGCCGGACCAGCCGAACGTGTGCCTGGCCACCTGCCCGGCCGGGTGGTTCTCCGACACGCCCGGGTACGCGTGCGCGACCTGCCACCGGGACTGTCCCACCTGCAAGGGGAGCTCCTCGGTCGAATGCACCTCCTGCCACCCGGGGCTCTTCCTCAATACGACCGGCGCATGCAGGGAAACCTGCAATGGGTCGACGCTGAAGTGCGAAGCGGAGGGCCGGTGCGCCCCCTGCTCGAACGGCTGCGTGCAGTGTGTCTTCTCGTCGAGCCTGTCGCCGGCCGGGCTGGCCGGCGCCACGGCGGCCGGGCCTTGCGACACGACCTGCATCAAGTGCAAGCCCAAGGTCCTGCTGTCGGAGGAGGGCCTGTGCTTGGACAGCTGCAATCCCAAGTGCGACGCCTGTGCCGGCCATGTGGACTTCTGCTCCAGCTGCGCGAATTATGCCTTCATCCTGCCGGAGAGCGGCGACTGTGTGGCCTCCTGCCCGGCGGGCCGGCCGCAGTTCGGCATCGACCGCGTGTGCCTGCAGTGCGTGGACAATTGCGCGGCCTGCACCGCCCCGGGCACCGAGTCCGGGTGTGTTCGCCGCCCGGACGGGGCCTGGAACTGCCCGACGGTGCCCACCTGTGACCGGTGCGCCAGTTCGCATCTCCTGCTCGAGGGGACTTCCTGCGTGGCCGCCTGCCCGGCGAAGTACTTTGCCGATCAGGCTGCCGGCCTGTGTCGGCGCTGCCACGCGGACTGCGACGCGTCCTGCACCGGCCCCGGGGCCGATGAGTGCGTGGCTGCTCCGGGATCCGGCAGCAGCGGCGGTAGCAGCGGCAGCAGCAGCAGCGGCGGCGGCGGCGGTGGGAGCAGCGGCAGCAGCGGCGG